CGCAAAAGATCTCCACACAGCTTGCAAATCCAACGTCCGCTCGTATTGCTCACCAATTTTCGAAGGGTTTGAAGGAGCATACAAACGATACATTTTTTCAGACAGCCAAGTATTTAGCACTTATTGGCATCAACAATAACAAATTCTAAGCTAGTCAGCAATAGGAATGGGTAAATTCGATATTCGAAGCATCGAGATTCGAATTCTAATCGAATTTTAGCTCCAAAATGGCGAATTTTTGAAATCGAAATTTTTGGATGAATCGAATTTTCCAGAAAAAATCTAATTTCGTTATTATTTACAAGAAAGCAACTATTCTTTCTGACTAAATTTGGCATAACTGTATGTGGTACCACATTTGCCTGAGGGATGCACGGTTTTGCGAAAGTAATTTCAGTGAAAAATTATTTTTTTCTGGCAGTTTCCATATTAAAATCAAGTAAAAAAATAATTTTTCACTTAAATTGCTTTCGTGAAACTGATTATAAGTATTAACTCACAGTGAAATGTATTTACTGATTCAAATAGCTACACATTTCAGTTATATAAATAAATTCATAAAAAATAAATAAGATTTCAGATGCTCTAAACACTGTATATAATATTACGTTCAAATTCGCTGCCGAAAAGATGAAAGCTATTTTATTTTGCGATATGTTCATTTAAATTTAATTTGATATTTTAAACAATAACAAAGCCTTTTTAATCATGTTTTGTTTGTGGAAGCCCTCTTAAAAATATTTTCGAAACAAACCTTTCTCCAACCTGCTCCGTTTGTCATCCATATTGATGAAAGCCTCTTAGATGGGTGGCATCCCTTTTTTCAATATTTTCAACATAAAGAGTTCTGAAACATCTTTTGACATAACTTTTGAAGAACTGTTATTTGACTTTCAAACAGGTGGAAACCCTCTTTAAAATGTTTTCAAAATAATTTAATACTTAATTTAATTTATTAATGAAATTTAATAAAACTTTTTAAATAGGTTACAATTCTATTAAAAATATTTTCGTAATAATGCAGAATTGAACTTTTTAAGCAGGTGACTTTAAATTTCTAGACTGGTGGCAATGTTCGCCAAAAATGTTTCTTAAAACCTCTCTCGCTTGATACCCATGTTAAAAGATTTTATCTAACTTGCTATTTACATTTACTTTAACTTTTTGAACAGGTGGCAACCTTCTTAAAAAAATATTTTCAAAATAAAGCTTTCCTCCGCCTTCTCATTGGGCTCCCAAAATATTTCATTTAACTTGTTAACTAAATTGATTTTGAATTTTTAAACATGTGGCAACCGCCTTTAAAATATTTTGGAAATAAAGCTTTCTGAAATCTCTTTCCTTTTTCCTTTAACTTCTTATTTAAATTGAATTTAACTTTTTGAATAGGTGGCAACCCTCTAAAATAATATTTTTGAAATAAATCACTTTCCCTTGACGATCACATTGTTGCGATATCGTATTTAGCTTATTAGTTGACTTAAATTTTTTTAACAGGAGGCGACCCCTTTAAAAAATATTTTCGAAATAAATAGTTTTGTAACCCGTTTTGTTTGACACCGACATTGTTGTAATATTTCATTTAACTTATTAACTAATTAATTTAAAATTTTGAAAAAGGTGGCAACTCTTCAAAAAGTATCACATTCGTAATATTATTGGATAAAAGTAATTAATTACTGGTCATAAGGGGCATTCGAAAATAGACATCCTGGGGAAAATGTAAATGGTTTCTTTGGTTGTTTTTATTTTTATTTATTTTTGTTGAAAACGCAAAGACTGCCGCAATCGATTTTTGACAATGAATTTGGCTGCCTGGTTTTATATTCTTCGACGGCAACTAAACCCTTTTTCTTAAAACCTAATATTTTTTTTTAGTTTAATCGAAAAATGCGATGTATAGTCCGGTCAAATTAGACCAAAAATAGGAGTGAAGTTACAAACATTCCCACCCATCTGAAAATTGGTAGGATTGTTCAAAACACCATCATAAATGAAATCAAGAAAGTCCTCATCGATGCGATACCTGGAAAAAAAGTTACTCGGGGTCAAAGATCACAAAAACGGGGTTTCGTGAATTTCAGCAAAACGGTAGGTTAGGTTAGGTTAGGTAGGCGGGCTGCCTCCGCATGTGGAGGCACACTTGGACTCGACTGAGCTGTCCGTTGTGATGCCCTCAGAGGGGGAGTGAAAAGGGATGCAGGGAGGGTAGGGGAAAGAGGGAGGAAGCTATGGGAGAAAGACGACACCTATGGCTTTTTGCCGGAGAAACGCTCCGTGCTCGCAACGAAGCTCTTCAGTCGACTGATATCCACTCCCGATAGCTCATCGGGAGTGTGAAAAAAGTGCGACCCAAGGTGTTTAAACCTTATACTATGTCTCCATTGTGAGATTTAATGAAGATTTAGCCCTCTGACGAGATTTGACGTTAAATCTTTTGAGATTTATCATATAAAATTAAATCTCGAAAGGCAGTAGATTTAAGTTAAATCTTCGTCAAATCTTCAATAATATTGATCAATAAGTACAATTTGTTGGATGTGGCAACCACAAATTCACATGCCATAAGTCAAATGACATTTGTGTTTTCAATATACAGTTGAGGACATTGAAATCTAGCCTATCATAAAAACATGAATTTTCGTATTTTTAGGGATTTTTATATTTTTTTGTTAGTTTGGGAGGAAAATTAGTAATAAATATTTACATAACTTTGGTTGTAATAAATTAAGAAAATATTATTTTATTTTTTATTCTCCGCTTTCTATAAGTCATTTACGCGCTGCGGCAAAAAATTTATAAATTTCGGTAATGGTTCTGCTTCGATAACATTGCACCGAACATCCTCTAGAACTCAGTTCGTATTCATGATATGCCAAAGGCCCACGATTGGATTTTCGGTTCCCTCCTATGAATAAGAGGGTTCTACAAAAATTTTTCTTTCCGCAAATGTTTTTTACCGTTTTGATAATTTTTCTTAAATTCGGGAAAATGATTCGGAATATGGTACCATTCTTTACACTTTCCAAACTATATATTATACATACAAATTTACCACGAATAAGAAGCCAATAATATTCAGAATTCATATAATGAAATTACGCTTGGTACCTTCCTTTTATCTGTCTGTATATCAATGTCCGCAACTGTATTTGTAAAATCATACATAAGCAAACGTCAAATATTTAAAAATGTGAACGTCAAACATATCTCGTAATGGTAATGGAGACGGTTGTGATTTAGCAACTGGATTTATTAAATCTTAATGGATAAATCTCTCAATGGAGACATAGTATTAGGCTCGCAAAGGCGGGGCACCAGAGCAGCAGATGTTGAGATGATTCTACCTCATAAGCAAAACGGTAAGTTAATCATAAAATTAGTTTAGACAAAAATTGTATACCAGATAATTACCTATAACAAATGTCTAAATACTTTTTGTCCTAAGAGCCACCGTTTCCGAGATATAACGATTCAAAAAGTTGGAAGTTCGGGTGTACGTGGCGTATGAGTAACAAGCTTTATTCAGTTGATACCTAACTTGTTTAATTTGGATAAGCGGTTTGATTATTAACCAGAAAGGACTTTTATTTTCGACTTAAAAATATCTGGCCAAGTTTAGCTGTTGAAAAAAAGTAACTATTTTTTACGGTCCCTGATATAAAAAGCCCTTACCTAATTTTCTTTCGAAATTCAGCCCTGTCCAAAAGTCAGTAGATTACTCACGAAATACTTACTTGAATTTAAAATCAACTGCTATAGCAAAAAACTCGTTTCTGTGTTTACAAAAAATGTTTAATTATAAATCGCAGCAACTTTAGTTTTTATAAAGTTTTAGAACTACTATGTGAAAAAACAAAAATGTTAGATAGGCCATTTCTATTTTAAGGTAACGGATATGTATAGATATACATATGGAGGTAGAAAAAGAGTTGTGCCTATGAAAGCCACACCCGCCCCTAACATTTACTGGAAATTATTTATTTAGTATTAAATTCATATTTTTTAAATAATGATAATGATATGACTACACATAAAGTCTCGGTAACAATTTTCAATGCGAATTCCTTTTTTGTGGATTTTTTGAAGATATTTTACTACTTTCAATGGAAATCGATCCATTTCATTTTCCTATTCTTGTAACATTTTTAATAACATAGCCGTATTTGTTTCATTCTGGACTTTTATTTTAATGCAATGCTCATTCTAGACCTCTTTCACTTCGGGTTAGGTTAGGTAAAGGATATGAGGATCACGCTATTACGTGGAAAAATGTTGGATGGCTTTTATTATTGCGGGTGTTAAGGGGTGAAGCCGAGCTAGGAATTTAAAACATTAAGGGCTGGCTGACATTTGATTGGCTGATCTTAGTTTAAACCAGCCAGATCGGGCGTTCTTTGTACTTACGTTTGCTCCTCATAAGCATTGATGGGTGGACGGTCGTTGAGTGTGTCATCCGAAGCCTTGCGCGGCATGAATAAGGTATCCTGTAAGTGTTTAAAATAAAGTGCATTAATAAAGTTGGCATGAATTTCAAATGAAATTAATTATTTTTAAAATAAAATTTAATTGAAATAAGAAATTATCAAAATAAAATAAATAAAGTAGAATAGTTAGGAAATGATATCAAATTAAACTAAACATAAAACATGTAAATCGCATTACATTTGCAAAACAATGAACAAGTAAATTTGAGGCGTAGGAATAAAATCATATGAGTTAATCATTTCTTCAAATATGTGTATGTATGTAGATAAAACAAATTTCTTAATGAATAAAAAATAGAAGAATCAAAAAATACAAATTCACCCGTCTCCATTGTTATCGATGAGCTGTCGAAAATACGTGATAATAAAAAAAATTTATCGCTAATTAATTTGCGCCAAAGTTAAGGTCTTAATATCATTTGTGCAAACGATCGAAGAAAGTACATACACCACGTAGACGGCGGGTATTTGGAAAGAAAATATATTTAGGTAGTTAAATACATATGTACACATACATAGCTATTCAAATGTAGTATGTACATAGTACATATCGTCATTTAAATTAGAAAACCGCGTATGTGAGGTTGCATAAATTATTTTCTGGAGAGTAAAAACACTCATAATTCAAAATAGTTCTCTTTTTTATAAAGCAATCGCATTTCTGCCTAGCATATTTCAGGACGAATAGATTAGCATTGAGCCAAGAGCTTGTGTGAGCAAATTTAATTTTTGGTAACAAATGTCAATTACGCAGTTTTGTACTTTTAACGACGATATGTATGTATGCATACTATGGTGCATCACTCTCCATAGAAAAAAGTTTGTACTGATATACCATCGGAATTATGAAATCTGATAGATATATTTTACGACTTCCGCCGAAATATTTCAGTGAAATATTACAATTTACGCGAGTTGGGCCTTCAAAATAAATACAATTAGTTGTAAAAAATATTTTTTCCAAAAAATCACCTCAGGTGATAGAAAAGTTTAAACTTGGAAAATTTGCTCGCGTAAATCTTAATATTTTTTCCGAAATAGTTTAGCGGAAATCTTAAAATATAACACATTTTATGATTCCAGTGGAAAAACCGCATTATTATTTTTTATTTTTTTTTGTGAGGTACTCTAATGAACATATGTAGTAAGCGTGTATGTACAAATAGAGTGCAAAGAAATATGTCTACGAAAAATGTAAATATTTATCATTTAACAAATGTTTTATCAAAGTTTTGTTTTTGTCTTTTCCTTTGTGCATACTTCTTTCAGATAGGCAACCGCTTAATTGTTAGTAATTACCAAAATGTTTTCATAAAAAAATTCTTAACAAATGACGTCACTAATAATTTTAAAAATGGCATAGTTGTTCATAGTTCATGTTCATAGTTGTTATCATAGTGTTATCACACGATATACATAAATATTTTGTGGTCAAAGTACAAGTCTCTCTTTTAAAAAAGTTAACTAAATAAATAAGTATTGGACAAGAATTAATTTTTGTCGCATCCAACAAAGGCTTGCAGAGTACCTAGTAACGATGAAATCGATAAGTTAAAAATAATTTTTGCGTTTGAGCGAAACTGGCGTAAATCGGCAGTTTTTTGGAACAAACATATGGCACCCTTTGGCGTCGTTTCGCACAAACGCACAGCAAAGCAACAAAACAAACGCTAATTTTTGCTGTTCGCATTTTCGCATCAAAGAGTGAACTCTAGTAGTGTTTCGAAAAACGGTTTTATTTACATACATACATATATTTCTAGTCATACTCACATTGCTGTCTCGATCGCTGACCATGGGCATTACAAGCGCTAGCAGATAACACATTAAACCGAAATTGATAAGCCATAATACGAATCCTTTTAGTGAGATAATCATCAAAGATACAGCAGCTACTGCCGCAGCCACTAACTGAGCTGCTTGTGCATTAACTTCGCCCGCATTTATCGTAGACAAATTGTAATTATAAGCGGCAAGATTGAATTTACTATAATCAATGCCAAATATTATGCCCAAGCCTAGATCCATCAAGTTGATGCAGAAAATTGTTACGAGCCAGGCGCTTATGACGTGACCACTAGACTTGACGTTGTCTTTTCTCACAACTGAAATAACATAAATATTTATATTTTAATTGTATTATGGTGAACTGTTATTATTACAGACATATCTTAGAATAGGCACTTACATATCAACAGCAGCAGCGATGTAATAAACCAACACACCGCCACGCCCAGGTAAACACAATCCCAAATCAGCACATCTTCTGGTGTTAGTATTGTCTCAACTGATTTGATAATTGTTGTATCGAATTGTTGATAGTCGGCAGGTATGCAGTCGCCTTTGAAGTATAGCGTGTAAAAGGCATATTGTATTACCGATCCAAATGAAAATATCGGATTAACCGGCATATTGCAGGTGTATGCCAAAATTCCCATAATTGTGAGGCCAATCCATATTAGCGACTGGAACTGTAAAGAGAGGGCATGTGAGAACGTATGTATGTAAGTTGAGAAAATCGTGCATAACGGGCATAATGATGGGAATAATGAGTCCTACTTTGTGTTGTCTTAGGTTTAAAAAAAATTAATGTCGCTCCTTATTAGACAGCAGCCACGGCATGAGCTAGAAATTAAGACCCAAGCTGGGACCCAAATTTATGCTACAAACTATATATGTACGTATATTAGCTTTAGAATTAACTCATTGCATAGACAGACGGCAACGTGAATCTGCATTAACGGCAAAGTTGATCTCATCTAAATTGTACCCTGACAGATGACAGTAATGCGGATTAAGCGATCCGCGGGGTCGTCGGATCGAATCCTACGCCAGTAATTTTTTATCCTACTAATAATAGGTTCGTTCGCGTAGCTGTTAATTGTTCATGTTTAACCAAAACTTACAAGTTTTTGCGTTCGCGTACGCAAAAATTTTGCAAAGTAGAGGAAATTGAGAGAGCAAAGTGACATTTCATTTTGAGGGGAAGCTGTTGGTTTCTGCTGGAAAAATTTTTGCCAACAGCAATTTGCCAACAGGAAAACAGCTGATCAAAAACAGCTGGTTGGCATTTACGCAAATCACAAAATTGAATTTGATGGTTTGGAAGTTAAAAATTACAAAATGCGACTATTTAAACTTGTAAGAAATAAGTAGTTATTTGTTTAATCAATAAACTGTGTCAGTATAACACTTTGTGATAACTTTTCGTACGTTTTAAATTTTACACTTTTGAATGTAAACAAAAATTATATCAGCTGTTCGTCTAACTTGCAAGTTTCTGCAAATTTTCTGTTCGCGTACTATTTTGGATATTTCTCTCTTGTGAGCGAACAGATGACATTTCGCTGGAATTTGGCAGTTGGTTGGTTTCTGCTGGAGATTTTAAACGAACGAACCTATTATAAATGTGAAAGTTTGTGAGTGAGTGTGTATGTTTGTAGCTCTTTCATGCTAGAATGGCTGGACGTATTTCAATAAAATTTGGCACACATATACGCTATGATGACCTTGATTAACATATAGGATATTTTTTGAAGGGGGTTGCCACTTTTTTCAAAAGTTAAAACCAACTGTTTATCAAAGTTAGATAAATTGTTACAACTATGTAGGTGTCAAACAAAAGCAGTTTAAAAACCATTTATCTTATTATTTTTTAAGAGTGTTTCCACCTTTTTATATACATAA